GCGTTTGTTTGCACCCCGCCGCCACCCGCGGAAACTGGCCCGGCCCGGGGGTCGGGGGCAAGGGTGGGAAGAACGCGCCGAGCACGAGCAGCCCGCGGGGTGCGGGGCCTGGAGCCGGTGGCCGGCTAAGGCGCGGGGCGCCGGCGTCCTTGCGCCCCAGGGTGGCCGGCCCAAGCCGCCTCAGGAGCTCTGGAAGAGGGGAGGAGGACCGCCAGGGTCTTATAAAGTGGATGCCTGGGTTCGGTCACCTACTCATGCCCTCCCTCCTTCACCTGCCGGGGCCTCTTAGGTTTCCTCGTGCTCACCAGCCTGTGGGCCGGCGTGGCGGCCCCAAGTGTCACCAAGTTTTGCCTGAGAATCAGCTGTTCACCCAACACCCACCTGTGAAGGGCCCCCAAGGTAGAGCCTGGGAGGGAGCGAATGCCCCAGAGCCTGCCTTTAGGACTGTGGTTCGAACTCACCCAGCAGCTTCACGCAGGAAAGACCTGGTTGCCTGCTCCCATAATGATTACAGCCAAGAAAACCTATGGGGCAGTTCGCCTCTGTCACATGGGCCAATGTGAGGCCAAGCCGCCTCCAGGGCACCTGACAACAGAAAGACAGGGCCTGGGTGGTGCAAACATGGGCTGAGTTCAGCAGCTACTGAAAAGCTGGAGTTTCCAGTCTCTCAGAGGCACCTGGGAAGAAAGCATTTCCGTAAAGCAGCCATTGCAAAGGGAGTGTACTCATGAGCACATCAAGGCTGGCAGAGGGTACTTCCGTGTAGGTATTCTGTGTACCTGCTGTGTTGCTGTTGTTGTTATGTGCCATCGAGTCAGACCTGACTCATAGCGATCCCTCCTTGGGTTTCCGAGGCAGTATCTCTACGGAAGTAGGATTGCCCCATCTTCCTTCCAAGGAGTGGCGGATGGGTTTGAACTGCCAGCCTTCTTTAGGCACTACGCTAAGGAATGTCTAAATATAGAACACAGCTAACAAGGGAGCTCTGGGGGCCTAGTGCCTAAGGCACTTGACTGCTAACCAGAAGGCTGGCAGTTCAAACCCATCTGCCACTCCTGGGAAGAAAGGTTGGGCAATCTACTTCCGTAGAGATACCGCCTCAGAAATCCAAGGAGGGCTCACTATGAGTCGGAGACGACTTGACGGCACATAACAACAACAACAACAACAAGGGGCAAAGTTATGATAACTTCTTCACCACAGCCAACCACCCTGAGAGAGCAAGTAGTTGGACCTGCGGGCTTGGAACCATGGTCACAGGGGACATCACGCTCAATT